ACACAAGTGTACAGGCAAGTGGGCAACACTCCCCCCGGGACAGCCTGCCGGTTCCAAATAAACTTGAGTTATGGATTTATTCAGCTTGTAAAACCTCAGCTGGCATAAATAATTGAGAAAGCAAAGGTTTGTCTGCAGTGCATACCTCAGGGACCCACTCCTGCCTCCCCCCCTCCCACCACCCTTTCTTATGAAAATGATCCCAGTTGCACTGCTAGATAATAACAACACCAAGCAATTAAAAGCTATGGGTGGCTGGAGAGAGGAGAAAAGGTTCAGTTAATGAGCTTTTCCTCTTCCTGCGCCCAAGAGAGCCTCAGAAGTGACGAGGCGATTAAAGCGAAGAGATAATTATAGATTATGTGAAAATGGGTCCCGTGGGGGCTGAGGGCCTTGACACAAACACTGAGTGCTGCGAGTGCCTCTCTGCTCCCCGCACGCTGCTGCTCCGCTCCGGTGGGCTCCCATTGCCTGGCCATGCCACCTGTGTGCAGCACCAGGGCCAGGCAGCCGTTACTGAGCATCTTTTGGGACACGGAGATGGGAAGGGGCAGAAGAAGCCCAAGGAAGCACTGGGTGGATCCCTCAAGACCTTGGACCAGAGGTAATCTGTGAAGGTGGAAGGGAGTGGGGCTGGCACCAGTTGGGAACTGAGCTTAGGTGGATTTACTGTGCCCCAGGTAGGGAGGAAGCGAAGACTGGTTAAGCAACAGTAGATCTTCCCTGTGAGCTATTTAAAACCCATTGGCTTGACCCCTCTGTTTTTCATATAGCTTGGGGAGAAGGCTTTGGAAGTCTCCCAGGCTTGGGAAAAGGAGATGGCTTGGTGTGAGCTTTCCTGCATCATCTTCCAGTGTGGAAGGAACTGCCCTTGCTTTACTTTTTGACAATAGGTGTGGTTCAAGTTGATTTGAGAGATGACCTTTAAAAGATCCTTTCCAACTCTAAGGATTCTATGACTTTGAATGGGGGTTAGCATCTCCTACCAGAATGGGGTGAGCAGAAGGAAGTTGGAGAGGTAGAATGTGTTGGGGAGGGAAGAGAAGCCCTTCCAGCCATCTGCAAGAAATAGATGGGAACCTGTTCCTTGCAGATATCAGGTGGTCATGGATTTGGAGACTCCTCAACGAGAAGAGACAAGGCTTGTATGTAGTCTGACACTGAAACAAACTCATCTCAATCTTTCTTTTAGCTACCATTGTAAGTAACTGTGCACTTTCCCGGTAGTTTCCTGGAGTTTCCTGCTCTTTCCCAACTCAAGGTATCCTAAAGGCTGTATTTTTCATAATGCACTTCTTTTTCAAATCACTAGAAATGCTAGAATCTTTTCCCCTGAAATTGAGTCAAACAACGTTATGATATGACATCTGTTGTATTCCTGATGTGCTTCTGCCTGTGTTTTTAGGTTATTTTGTCTTCTAGGCCTTGCTGCTGACTTTTATCAGCTTTATAGGTGGAGTGCTGGTCTACAAACCGTGCATCCACTTTGTTTCCTTGTAACTGCTGGTGGAGGGGTTGTTTTGCATGTACACATGAACACGTGTGAAACAGATGAAAAATCTTCATGTGCTTTTGTGCTGTTTCTTATTTCTTCTCTGTCTCTAAAAGAAGAAAAAAAGAGCCAAGTTTATACTATTTTTGTGAGCTTTTTTCTCTCTAGTTACCTTCCTGGTTTTGGCACTTGGCAAGAACAAATTGTTTTGAATGTCTGAAGCACAGACATCGTTTTGTTTGCAATAAAATATCTTCATTAGGACTGTATAGACTTCCTTCATATCTGTTTGTAAAAAAACCTCACTTCTCTTCGTTGGTTTTTGTAAAATGGAGAGAATATATGCTAACAATTCTTATTTTAATTCAAAAACAGGAGCTAGCAGGTTTAGACCCTGATAAATAAATGCATTGTAGAAAGGTGAAATTTCCCAAAACTTTATCTCTGTTTAGGGAGATTGCTATCCTGGAATAATTCCATTGTGGAGACTGAAAAGTGGTTTTTTGGAAGGGGAATACGTAGACTATTCACAGAGGTGGTGAGTCCAGAAAAGCTAAATCATATCCAGATAGCTGTGTCCATTTTTCTCCCTTAATACTGGCATGCTCAGAGGAGACTAAGAGTTAGCCTGGAGGCTGTGGTGGAATGGTGGCCCACTGCTGCTCCATCAGTGTTAGGAATGTTCCCTCCCGCTGTGCTCCTGCAGACAGGTTCCTGTGGAGCACAGGGAGCGAGCAGTTGCTTCACTGCTGCTGTTTGCCTTCCTGCTGGTGCCTTCAGCTGTGCCATGTGAGGCCCAGCAGGGCTTTCAGTAGCCAAGAGTGTGTGTGAGAGGTTAGACTGGCAAGGCAGGAGGAACATCTGCTTGTCAAATCAGCTGTTGTTAGCAGGGGCAGGCATGCCTCATAACCTCCTTCATGAAGCTGTCGATCTCCATCTTGAGCAGCATAAGCTTTTGCCTTTTCTAATCCCACCATGAGATCCTTTTTTTCCCCTCCAGAATTCAAAGCAATTGCATTTAAAGCATGCAGTGATTTGTTCCCCAGGAGCCTGTGTAGCATACAGGCAAGGCCCCCAACAAATGAGTCCTTGAGAGTGCGGTTAAGGAACTGGCAGGCTTCTGTAGTGTCCCTGGGCCTGCACATAAAGTGTGTGATCTCTCCTGGAAAGGCGCAGCTCAGGTGTGCCAGAGGACTCCTTATGTGCAGAGAGTAAGGGAGATTATAGAATGGCCTGGATTGAAAAGGACCGCAATGATAATCTAGTTTCAACCCCCTGCTATGTGTAAGGTCACCAAACGCTAGAGCAGGCTGCCCAGAACCACATCCAGCCTGAACGCCTCCAGGGATGCGAAGGAGAACGGCCCAGAGCATTGTGGCCTCTCCAGTGGGTCTGACCTGGTGCAGCAGGCTGCTGCTTTTGTAAGGAACTTCCTTGGACACTGCCAGGTCTGAGTTCTGCTCAACATCCAGATTGTCTTAAGCCCACAGGTGACTGTGAACTGGGGGTGTCGTAGGAGAGGCTAACTTTGTATTATTAACTGTTTGGAAGATGCCAAATCCCATGACAATACTGACTAGTTCATTGGAGCTATAGTTTTCATTTGGAAACAGGGAAGGGTAGGGGAAACATGGACTTTTTGCTTACTTCTAACAAAGCAGTGATCTGTTTTCTTTACTCCTCAGTGGGAACACAGCTGTGTGGGTATACCACTACTTAAAGACATTATTGTCATGCTTTAGTTGTTTCTATTTATGTACCATCCCACAAGCAAGCCTTGTTGCAGTCCTTTTTACAGTGATGGTGTTACAACAAAGCTTGACCATAGCCTTGCTCAGAGCAGCAGGCCAGGATATGCAAGGGACATACGCCTGTTTCAGAATGCAAACACATGCTCCCTTAGCCACGCTTGCTGGCAGAAAGACCCACAAGTTGGGATGTGGCAGGTGCTTGAGTTGCACCAAGTAACAATCAGAAAGACCAATGTGATGGAATAGTGATACAGGAGGTCCAGTGACAAAGGCATTGGAGTGATAGAAAGGTGCTGCAAATAAAAAATGCTTACCTATCTCTGAAGATTTAGGCTTGCAAGGGAAAATCTGCAAAGGAGGAATCTCCAGAAATAAATCCTTCCCCACTGGCAGTCAGCTCTTAAATGAGGTCTAAGAGAGTTGCAGCCAAGCTCCATTCCTTCTGGTTGCACATGTGAATTGCCTTCATCTGTGCTCCCAAGGCTGGCTGGGTCCTTTCCCCAGGTGCTCAATCAGTGGTTCAAGCTGTGTCTCAACAGTTACCGTATGCTCCAATAGCTTCTTCTGGAGCTAAAAGCAGTATTCTGGCTTCAGACATACTAAACCTTGTGTTGTTATTAGCGAAGCAAACACCTTCTAATGAATTTAAGACCTTAGTACAGATTCTTAAAGCATGAAAGACCTCCATATCAGTTGCTGGATCTGCAGCGCTTCTTGCAATTAGTAAAGCAAATGGTCAGAACCTTTAGGAAAAGGATAGAGATCTGAATGAAGACTTTTTTACCCCACTGTACAAATCTGTGCACCTGCATATCTAATTCAGGTCAACCCATCTCAAAAAGGAAGGAGAGAGACTGAAGAAGAGGGTGAAATGGAATTATCAGCGAAAGTAGGAGTTGCTATCTGAGGAAACAACAGCATAGTTTGAAAGGAGCATCTGGAGAGAATGTGACTTGTGTGGTCATATGAGAGGTCTGCAGGTGGTGTGAAGTACGTGAATAAACACAGATTACCAAGGAATACCCAATAATACTAGACATCTGTTTTAAAAACACCAAAAGAAAGTATCTGTTCATCTCTTCATGCCCACAATATGGAGCTGTAGAACTTTCCTTTAACAAGGCTGAGAGCATGAACGGGTTAAAAAGTAAAAAAGTGTTTGAAAAAGGGTCTGGAAAAATCTGAGAAATATCTTCATCTGGATATGGCTACAGAAATCCTTAAGCCACCAAGTTTCAGAAGCTGAGGGTCTAACCAAGATTAGATCCTCAGCTTTGCACTTAATCCTATTTCTTCTGCTCTTCTCTCCAAACCTGTGTTAGTGACCACTGTCAGAGATGTGTGGCACTGAAAAGTGACTCCAAGCGGTAGTAGTTACAAGTTTGTTTGCGTAGCAGGGAGAAGCAGAGCTTTAGCCCTTTATCCTCTGGCAGACTGCAGTGATATATACCAGGAGTGAGCAGGTTTTGTGTTGGGTAACTTTATAAGCTTCTTGTGACAATTCACAGGTTTAAGACTTCTGCCCTGATGTGTTGTTAAAAGTGTTGTTAAAAACAACCTTGGTTTTCTAGGAAACAGGAATTTCTGACTCTTACATGGGGAAAAAACATATTCTTCTGCATGCATTATACCAGAAGCCAGTTCCACTCCAGCGATGCTATTGAAATGTTTGTGGCAAAGTTAGATCATAAGATGTGCACGTGGCCTTTGTGCAGTGCAGTAATGTGTTATTTCTTTTGCTTTTGTTTCCTGGATAGGGAAGAGGACAAGAACATTTTTGATTACTGCAGAGAAAACAACATTGACTACGTAACCAAAGCCATTCAATCGAAAAAAGTGGATGTGAATGTTGCAGATGAGGAGGTATGGATAAAAAGATATAGAAAATCAGTCTTTTAATTGTTTAGTTTATTAACTCAGTATTAAACCTTCCCAGAATTCCCCTGTTAGACTTGTTAGAAGGTACTGCAAGAGTTGGACAAGCACTTGATCATGGAGATGAGTATAATCTGTTTGGAAAGAGCAACTTTCCACTGGATTTTTAGCAGCATGGATGTACTGTGGTTTTGTAGTATGTCAGAAACTTCCTGTTAATTTCAGCAACAACAGCTGCAACTTGCAGATTGATCTGCTGAAAACCCCCCTTTCTAGGGGCATCATACACTCTTTTTCAGAATCGAAACGCCTTTTCCTCACAGGAAGGTAACAGAGGCATTGCCAGAAACCTCAAGGAAAAGACAAATACATAAAATGTGAATGGCCTGATGATTTTCTTGGTAAAAGAACACACCTGGAGTGGACAGTTCTGCATTCAGCAAATGTAGCAGTACCAGCTTTATTGCTCTGGTTTCAGTGCTTGCATACTGCCACCTAGCCCTGCTCTTGGTCAACAGTACGTACAGCTACTTTTGCCTGGTGCTTTCCAGCACATTGTGTTTTGGTGAACAGATGAAGTGCTTACACATTCATAGACTGAGACGCCACAAATTCAGTTGGGTTCTCCGGTAGCTCTAAGCAGATTTCTGCCCTCTGAGCCATGACAGCCCCGGCTGGGGCTCTGAATGCTGATGGCAGGGCCTTTTATTATTAATCAGGAATTCGTGTGAATTAATTTTCAGATGAGAAGGAAGGTGTTCACAATCAGAGCTGGAATTTCGCATTGTAAATTCAATGAACTGAAACTGTCATATGCCGTGCAGTCACTGCAACAGGGCTGTTGCTGAGCTCCGTTTGCCCTTCTGTCAGCCACAGGTTGCAGAAGTGAGTGCCCAGGGCAGTCATTCCTAACATGGCCAGAATCCTTTCATTAATAAAATCCCATTTTTGAGATCACACACTTGTGATCAGTGCATAAGAACATCATGTGATCTTTGCTTCATTTCCATTGATGAGATGTTTTCATTCTTCCCGATGTTCAGAAGCTGGTTCCTTCTTTTGCATCCAAGCAATGAATGTGCATGCCTTCAGCCAAAGAAATAGGTTAAAAAAATAAATGTGAACGATGGCTGAAATATTTTTGTTCTCTCCATGTAAGCATTTGGAGACAGATCTGAAAAGTGTAGAGTGACTCCCAAAGAGTTCTCATCTTTGAGAAATATGCCCACGAGTCCAAAGTGTGATAGGGACTGTTTCAGAACCAGCAGGCACTTGCAGAGCATGGAGCTGCTGCAGCAAACGCCTGACACTTCTGGACCCCTGGCTGCCTATGGAAAGTGAATGGAAAGATACCTGCTGGTGCAGAATTCCCCCTTAGGTGTATTTTTGCTTACCCCAGCAAGTGCTCAAAGAGGTAGGAGCCCCTTCATTAGGCTTGATTTAAATTGGTTAAATAAATAAATAAATTAAATAAACAAGAAATCTGAAAGAAATGTTTGTTTGATGCTGTTTTGAGGGACTGAAACTGTCGCCAGAGCTGTTTAGTAACCAAATGCATTCTTCAAAGTCTGGAGAGCTGCTCATTTTCCAGTATCGTGCAAATTGATTCAAGTTTTAGAACCCATTTTAGGAAGGAGATAATCCAGAGCAAGTCTCTGGTGGAGTGAAGGGTATGCAAGCATCATCTTGTCATTTTTATTAAGTGTTTTAGTGTTACAGTGTAAATACATCCTGCCATATCCAGAAGATGCCTTTCCCAGCCCTCTGAACGTAACTCACTCTGTCGATCTTTTGATTTAAACACATATAAATATAAAGTGGCAGCACGGATCCATACAAAGAGTTAACTTGTTATGGAACAAAATCTGCTGGAGCACCAAGCAGCCTCGTGCTCAGCTGTAAAGGCTCTCAGCACAGCCGCTCCCGCAGCAGGAATGGCCTGCCTGCAGTGGTATGGTGCTTTGGTTTTATCACCAAGTGATGTATTCGTACTGTATCTAGTTAGCAAAGGGAGAAAATGAGAATAAAAATGTAAAACGAGGGCACGCTGACTTAGAAGCAAAAGGATTTCAGAAGGAGCAGTAGAAGTCTGTAGGATTTAGGCAGAGATGCCCTTGGCAACTTCTGAAGCATGGGCTGCCTCCTCCCCTAGGTTAAATAAAGACATGAAAATCTTTGTGTACGGCAGTCAAGCCAGCATACCCGCTAACAGTACGGATATAATAAACTTCAATTTAGAATTAAGCAAAGAATCTAATGACAGTAATCATGTACAAGCTTCCATTTACTGTATCTAAATTGCCCAGAGTTCAACAGAATAGCTTGCATTCACTTAGGAGTAATAGTGCAGGCTAAAACAACCAGTTTCTCTTGCGTGTGTCAGCAGGACTAATGGAATAAGGGAAGGACTGTGGCTGGGAAGTCGCTGCAGGACGTCAGGCACGCTCTGGCGGCGTGGATTGTTTGCTGCCTTTGTGAGAGCAGTATTTCTTCAGCTGTTAACTAACCAGAAGTTGTTCAGAGACATAGGTGGGTTGCTTCCGTCATCTGTGCCAAAGTCCACGGAGATTGTAGATGGAGATTTTGTTGTAACTGTTGGAAGTGCCCCAATAAACAAACATAGAATCATAGAATGGCCTGGGTTGAAAAGGACCACGATGATCATTGAGTTTCAAACCCCTGCTATGTGAGGGTCACCAACCACCAGACCAGGCTGCCCAGAGCCACATCCAGCCTGGCCTTGAATGCCTGCAGGGATGGGGCATCCCAATAAAACTCTTGCTACAGGTTAGCTTGTCTGTCATTGGTGTGCATCCTTTAAGCTGCAAACATTGTCCCTAGAAGTAGAGCTTGATACTGTGGCGTTTCCATTGAGGTTGGCTTTGTTCTCCTCTTTCTCTGCACTGGCTAATTGATGTGAAATTCATTCCCATCCGTTTGTCTGCTGAGGTTCGGTCTAGCTGAGACAAATCCCCGTCCTGTGCTTTGTTTGTGAACACACTGTGACTTGGAGCTGAGCAAATTGATATGCTGTTGGCTTGAGAAACTGCTGCAGAAGCCGGCCAAGCTGGCAGCGGTTACCCAAGCAAAGCACGGAAGATTTAAGAGGCAGGGTTAGTGCACTGGGGCTATTTTTATGCTGTTTTTATTAAATACTTCAGAGGCAGGGGAAATGCATCTTCTCAAGCAACTTCTGCAACAACTGTTGTGTGTTTGAATTGCACAGAATGAGTACCCTGCTGTCTGATTGCACTGGGCAAGGCTACTGCTGCAGTGCTTTCCCATGCAAAATTATTCGCCTTGGTCTGAGTCTTTCACTGCCTAATGAAATAGTCATACGGGAAGTGCTTTGGGACGGCTCAATCTGTGGCTCTTAATGCTTCTGCTGTGTTTTTTAAAGATGCAGACACATGTTGTTGTAAAGTAACAGCTGTGCAGGCTGTTTTCAACCTGTATAGGTGATAGCCAAGCTGCACAGAGAGTTGTAGACTGTGTGTTCAGTTGGTTTATCACTGAATTGTTATTAGTTTTTTAAGGAGGACCTGGGAAACAGGTAGACTTTGTAGCTGTCTAGCTGTTCTAAATACATACAGCTAGGGCTCCAGAAGATTTTAGTTTGCCTGCTTCAGTGCAAACAGTCGTGAGCTGGATGTGGCTCTGGGCAGCCTGGTCTGGTGGTTGGTGACCCTGCACATAGCAGGGGGTTGGAACTGAATGAGCACTGTGGTCCTTTTCAACCCAGGCCATTCTGTAATTCCATGATTGTTTTAAACTTTTCTTAGTGATGCTTTTTGTTATATGGTAAGTACATTGAGATTCTTCTTCTTACTTCCACATCAGATGGTGTGCTCTCGCAGAGAGAGGCTCCCTGCCACCCTGTGCTTATAGGGTGGATAAGATGATGCAAGGATGCAGCCATTTCTTGTGTGGAACGTGTCAGCTTTTTAATAGTGCACAATTACAATGCAGAACCATTTAAGGCACTAATTGGAAAATATTGTATCCATTTAGAATTGCAGAGAAAATATATAGGTAAGCAGAGTGTAATTACCCAAAATGGAATTGGCCCAAGACTTGAAATCCATACTCCTGCAAATAGCGCGAGGAGATTTTTAATGACTGGAGATGATCAGGCTTCAGTTTCTTGTCTTGTCCAAAAGGCAACGTTCACAGCAGAAGCAGCACTGCAGGGAGGGACTGGTTGCACCATGCTGCAGTATCACCACGCTCACACAATGGGCAGCACAGTTCTTCCTCAACCACTGGGTTCCCTTCATTGGACTCCACCAAGTTGAGCATCAGTAAAATAAGGTTCTGCTTGACCAGAGACAAGTGCAAACCAAAACGTTGCAGCCATTTGTAACATGTTACTTATGGACAGGATAGGAATGCCTTTATTTTGCACTACAATGACACAAAAATTGGAATTGTGTAATTAGAATATTGTCTCTATACTGCATGTGTAGAGAAACAGGGATAATCAGTTGGAGCACTTATTGCTATTGTGCACATTGCAGATAAAGTGATTCTTTCTTCTGAAATAGAAGCCAGGCACAAGGAAGTTGGCATTGCTTGCCCAACTGAAATCCTCATTCTTAAGTAATTACCAGGCTAGAGTTGAGCTAGGGATGCTAAAGATGACTTAAAGATCTTCCCGTGTTTACAGAATCGTGTGTAAATGGCACTCTTTCCTCTCTTAGACGTTGATTGTGGTGCTGAGTGCAAGAACATAAATCATTAAATGGCCCACCGATGTCATCAGTGCTTCCACAGAAAGTCATTGTCAGAGAATACATTCTAATTCAAGGTTAATTAGTGTAACGTTAAAATTATGTGTTACAAAAATTAATTACTCACTGGGTCAAAAAGTCTGTTAAAAAGCTCAATGCTTTGTATCTGCTTATCCTCCTTCCAAATAACGTCTGCCTGTGCCACCCTGCTGAAGGATGCCCAGCAGGAGAAGGGTGAGCTTCTGCTGCAAGTATCTTCTGCCCCACCTGCAGGTCTGGCACCACGGTTGGGAAATTGGCTCACAGTCTCCATTAGTGGATAAATGAGTTGCTCACCTTGTTCACCGCTGCTGCATCAAGAGATTTATAGGCAGGCGTGGGCTGCTGTAAGTCCAGATCCGGAGCACTAGGATGCTATGTACCGATATTAGTGTATATCTGCTATTAGTACTCAATAACTCATAGCATAACTACAATTCTCCAAGCTGTTTTTTGACTAGCTTTGATGCTCTTGGATGTTGCAGGGCAGGGCTCTGCTCCACTGGGCATGCGACAGAGGACACAAGGAGCTCGTTTCAGCACTGTTGCAGCACGCTGCCGACATTAACAGCCAGGTAAGAAAGGAATGAAAACAGAACTTGTGTGCTGTTTGTTCTGTGGCCTCCTGACCAACTCCAGAGCAATTTCTTTCACAGCATTACACAGGAGAATGCTCAAAAGTGTCTGAGCTGAAGGGGCAGCAGCGTAATGCACCAGGCTGGGAGCTGCCCTGGTTCAGCTGCAGCTCAACAAGTGGTTCCTTCTGGCCAGCAAGCTGGAAGCTCCCCGCACTCACAACTCAACGCTCCTAGTTTTGTCAGCTGGCTGTAATGAAGGGCTGCCCTGTGTAATTGTGATTGTGTTCGGAAATAATCGTTCAACATATTTCTGTCAGATGGTGATTGACTGCTCCTTACCAGCGTGGCTTTTATAGGCTTTGTTCTCCTGCCCAGTTTGGACAGAGATGCTCTCCTTTTGACAACTTTGCAAGCTCTTTGCAGCGAGATGGCTTCATCAGCCTTGCAGAAGGTGCTGTGGGAATTTGTACAAAGTGGATCTTCACCACACTCGTGGCATGGCATACCCCATTGTCAGCCCAGAGCCAGCCTTCCAGCGAGCTAGCAGGCAGTGCGTCAGATGCATCTGGGGAGAGCTTCCCTTCGAAATGAGATGGAGGAGGGGCCCACCACCTGCCCATCCCCTTTAACCTGACAGCCTGGGAGGTGGTTCTGTTTGAAATGCTGTACTGCATCAGCACGCAGGCAATTCATTTTTTGGATAACTATGTCATTTCTTTGGAGGTAAAGTCTGACTCCTAGAAGAGAAGGCTGAGGGGAGAATTGTCTTATTTTTCTCCAAACTTCAATTTTCTGTTAAATTCTTTCCATTCTTTTTTCTTGATGTATTGCACATTTTCTAACCAGTTTATTTTTGGCCAGTAACAAAAGGTTAATAGTGGCCATAAAAAGAAAATCAATCTTTGACTTTTTTTTTCCCACCAAAGTAATAAAGGAGAATTTTTATAAAGGTCCTGCATTGCACGTAGGTGTGTTCCCAGGGAAGGCAGGCGCGTTTTTATTCTCAGCCATATGTAAGTTGCAATAACATTTTGAGACTTCATGACCTAATGTTTATTTCTTCTTTATTTTGACCTTTACTCTCTGAGAATTCACACCCAGAGAAGAACCAGAAAGAGTTTTTGAAGAGTAACCTGAAGAAGAAAGGGAGAGGGAAAAAATGTGGCTTCCTAAGCAGCCATAAACACTGCAATGTCTGCTATTACACATTACCAATTGCACTGTCAGTTAATGCGTGGGCCATGAAGAACCATGGGGTAGGCGTACAGGGATCTCTGATGACTTGAAGCAATAGTGCCATTATTCCAGCCTGCACATATGCCTTGCTCACTCTTTACTGCCTTATTTTAGTTCACCCGTTGCAATGCTTACCTTGTGGAAGCTCTTGAAACCTCTGGATCTGGATCTATTACTCTTCGTTGTTAAACAGGCAGCTTGGAGCAGGAGGAGAGCTTGCCTGGCTCCACTCATTCTCATAGCATGCTCCGAACAGCCCCGATTCTGGCAGTGTGGTGTTTTTTGCTTTAAATGGTGGTACTGCAGCTTCAGAAGGGCGGTTCATTAATGTCACCGAAAAGCTGCAGCCATTGAGTTCTCTGATTGTTCATAATTAGCTCTAATAGCACATTTGACAAGCGGTAACCGATTGCCATGGGCAAAGGGATACAGAAAGGCAACAGGCTTCTCTTCACGTTGAAAAGGGACGTTTATGCAATTGAATTACCTAAATCTTCGGAGCCAGAGGCCATTTCCAAGTGGGTGGTGTTACCGTGTTTTGGAGCCCTGCTGGAAATATCCAGAGCTAGGGATCAGGCTGAAAACAGCCTCCTGCTGCTGCAGCTCTGCTTGCTTAAAATGTAGGCTTTTAATTGAGTGGTGAAGGGAGGGGAAGGGGAGCATATTCATAACGCGGTAGTTACAAAGCAGCTCAGACAGCATGATTGTAATATCAATTTCTAGCTTTAAAATATATGAAGACATGAATAAGTTTCCCTTGCAGAAGGTCAAGCGACAAAGGAAAACCTTTTTACACTGTCAAAGTGTCAGTTGTGACAATTTTTCCTGCAGCATTTGCCCTGGCCTTGGAAAGGAGGTTTCAAAGCAGGGGGCATTGGATGCTGGGTGCGCAGAATTGCACCCCAGTCTTGTGCTGCCATGCAGCTGTGCATCCTCTGTGTTCCCTGTGCTTTCAGAAGGATGAAGGGCATCGTAGTCTAATAACTGTCCATTGAGAGGAAGAACAGCAAGTAGTATCTTGTAACACCAAAGCAGTAAACTTGAGACTTGCCCCAGCCTTGCTGTCTCTGCACATCATTGTGTGTTTCACGTCATCAGCTTATCAACATTATACTTACATATAGAAAATAGCACTGTAATTTGGCTACTTTGGTCACGATCCAAGTTCTAACTGACCTGTTTGCTTTGTTTGCTGACCTTTCAGTTCCTCAGTAAAGGCACAGGTCACTGTACGAAGGTTTCACACCTGTTGTCAGTAAGTTTTCCAGTCACCCCTGGGCCCTCAGGGCCTTGGGAAGGAAACTTGAGAACCGCAGCTGGAAATCAGCAGGTTGGGAAGTTTGTTGCCAATAGGAGTGAGTTTTATTTTATTTGTTTGTACACACCTGTAACTTCATTGAAAGTCATTAAGCATCCCGCACTGTCTGCAGTGAGGGCTGGTTGCTCTCTCTCATACCTGTGTGAATGTTGCATCTGTGTGCTGAACTAATTCACACCAGGCAGCTCAGCTGCCTGAAGTCTATTTTGTTTCCTTTAAGAGTAGCACAAGAAGTGTGGCTGCTTCCCCAGCCTATCTTTTCTCCTAGTCCCCTGCCAAAAGCCCCAGCAGGCAGCAGCTCTCCATCTGCATGCCAGCATGCTTTTGAGTCATAGGACTTCTGGAGCCTGGGATGGGGAGTAGCAGTCCCCTCATAATACCTTCACGTCCTCATTGGGGGAAAAAAAAAAAAAAATCTTTTCAAATGGAGACAATACAAACATAATAAATGGCAGGGAGGGTTCATCTCCCTCATGACTCAATCCTTCTCAAACAACATTATTATTGACTGGCCTATTGGTTGCCAAAAAAGAAAATCAATTGTACTAGAGGTGGTTGCTGTGCCACAGATCATGGTACTAACCCAGCAGAGACAGGTTGATTTTTATCAACTGAGCCCAAAGACTAATTTCCACCATTAGCTAAAAATGAAGTAGGAATTACGGATGTGTTGAAGATTGCTAAGATTGGTGGCCAGTTGGTTTTGTTTGCAAGGCCTTTGCGTTTTCCTGTCTGACTCTTGAATGATTGCATGTATAGAGTAAAAAGAAGCCAGAAAAAGTCTGCATGTCACTGCCTGCTTGTTTTCTTTTTAACTGCATTTATTCAGATTTCACACAGCAAAAAAAAGGGGGACTACATCAGCATGGGCCTCATGTCGGAGGTGCAGTGCAGACAAAGCAGTAGCCAGCTAGCATACATCCATCCCTTCCCTGCCTATTTCTCTGTATCTGAGAGAGGTGTTGAGGAGATCAGCATAGGCATCCTGGTGGTTCTTTATCAAGAGACACAGGTCCCAGGCTGCACTTTCACAGCTTTCCACTCCCCATGGAATGTGTGCATGCCTGTGTAGCCCACCAGCTTTCCTGCAAGCCCATCTGTGCAAATGCACCTATAGACAAAATGCCAGCCATCAAAATACTCCACTGTTAGGACCATTCTAACCTTGTCAAAATAAAAATACCCGCTTTCATTTAATGTCCCAATATAAATTTCCCCCTAAATATGCTGAAAGCTTGGCTAATAAAAGCATGAGGACCCTCTCCTGGATCTGCAGATTGCTGCAGAGGTTTGGCATAGTTATGCTCCCAGCAAGCAAATACTGCAGGTTCTGCTGACCTGACCATTGCTGCAGTGGGAAGGCACAATGGCAAACAGATGAAGAAACTAAACAAAGATGAAAGGCAAAGCAATGGGTAATGAGAGCAGAATTATTAACCACGATAGTTTTCTTCTTTCCTTACAGCCCCCAGTCCCTATCTCAATATTTCTGTAGTCAGCTTTGCCAAGGAGATCTCAGAAGACTGCAGGCTTATACCCCTTCAGTCTTGACATTGTTGCCAATGGGTGTGAAATCCATTAGCCAAAGAAAGGAAAGATCTGCTTAGTGACAGAGGGTAGCTTTCTACATTAAAGCATTGACATGGTGCCAGTCACACAGTTATTAGAAGTGGCACAGCTCCATGTCTCTCCTGCAGGTCTCTCTGTGGAATGTAGATTGGCAGCAGGTTGAATGTTAAATGGTCACCACTCAGCAGATGCTGATTTTACCTACTGGGAGAAAAGTCCCTTTCAGCAGAAGCATTTGCAAAATATTTGCAGCTCTAAATATATGCTGAGGGATGCAGAGACTTATCCCTGGGTTGCTCTTCAGCTTCTGAAGACACCTCAGGTCTCAGCAGCACAAGCTGTGTATTATAAGGACAAGAAGAAGTTTCCTTCTGCCTGTGCATGCCGATTTTTTGTTGCATTGTCTCTTCACATCTTCCAGCTTGACATGTACAGCCTTTGTTTCTTCTGCTCCCTGTAGACATATGAATCATTGCTTCACTGCTGGTGCAGCAAAGCAGTTGGCACCTCTGCTCAGGAAGTGCGTGCAGCACTGCCTGCAAAGCAGGCTGAGACAGCTGAGTGCTTCTGTGTTATTCGAGTGGTCATTTCAGGACCCACACAGCCCTTTCAACCTCTCCATGCAAAACAAGCATTTGAAAAAGTGAAATCCAAGTGCCAGTCCTGAAGAGCCAGCAGTAGCCCCTCTGTTACACCCTCAAAATCTAAAGCTGCTCTCAGGGTAATCAGAATGCAGGGATTAAATCCAAGGACCGGGTTTCTGCGAGTCCCTGTGAGGTTGTCTGGCACATTGGGCATCACCTTGTTCCTTCATAGGGGCAAGGCCAGCACTGGCATGCGATGGCTGCAACCTCTGGGAGCACCCACAGGGACAGCCAGCAGCAGCTGGCTGTTAGGTGGACATGCATGGCACTATGTTGGCTGGCATGCTGTGTTGCAGAGCTGGAAGAGAGGTCTCATTCCTTACTGTGTCTGTCTTTACAGATGCAGGAGTCAGCCTTACCTCAAATGCCTCCCTGGGAGGACGTGGGATGGTCCCAAGCCCCTTTGTCCCAGGGTCATCTTTGACATAAGCACATGTTTAAGTCCCTGTAATTTGTGAAGGCATTGTTGGAAATGCTTTAGCCCCTCATTAAGGTGTTTGGTTAGCTGCACAAACAGGATACCACTGGCAACCAAGCTGGTTTTTCAGGTGGACGCATCACATTGGAATGGTCTGCAGCCTTGCTTCATTTCCTATATCACAGAATCACAGAATCACAGAATCACAGAATCACAGAATCACAG